TATTATAATATAATTTGTTTTCATTGCTTTTGTTCCATTTCTGTATCTGTGGCCCTGATGGGTGACTTCCACTTCGTCATCTCCCGACTTCTGCTTGCTTACGTCATCTCCCGACTTCTGCTTACTTACGTCACGCCTAGACTCGTCTTGTGTTTTCGGAGAGACTTCGGTTCTAAAGAAAAATCATTAAACTATTTGATTGCGTACCTCGCCCGTCTTTATTCCTTGATTTATTCATTGACTTATTTATTGACTTATTTATTGACTTATTTATTGACGTATTTCTGTATTTGACGGAGAGAAAAGTGACGTGTTGATGGGAGAAGCTGTCATGTCCTGATTCTGTTCTGTCCACAGTGACTTTGGCTGACCCAGTTGGCAAACGGCTCACTGTAGTCTATAGCCTGGCCACACTGCACGCGCGCTGCCCACCCCGGGAGTGAGTACCACCGGTAGGAATTGTTTTCTTTGGCTCACTTTCACTCGCACGTTGAGGAAAACTAACCTTTGTTGGTGTGTTGGAGTTGCGCTTAACCTGGCGGCCATATTGCGGGGCACGGCTTGTGGGCGATATTGCGGGGCACGGCTTGTGGGCGATATTGCGGGGCACGGCTTGTGGGCGATATTGCGGGGCACGGCTTGTGGGCGACTGTCCTGGGTGGTTGGCGGGTGCCCTGCTGTGCTTTGCTCCTTCTTCCCTTCTATCAAACATTTATCGTCCTTGTCTCTCCTTTTTCTTTTTTTTGTTTGTCTGTTTGTTACTCTCATGTAGCACCTCTAATCTCCGACACTTCTGTGACCTTATTGTGTGGCAAGTGCCGTCAATATCTAGATCAAACTCAATTTGACAAAAAAAAAAAAAAAAACTAGTGGCGTTCCTTGTGTGACATGAACTATGATGAACCAACATTTGGGAGGGCAGATGGTGTTTTTGAATGTCGGAGGAGTGAGAGTTTCACGGCACTTGCAACACAATTAGGTCACATAGGTGGCCAAGATTTGAGGTGTGACAAGACTAACGTACACTGTACACAGACCAGGAGAGTTAAGGACGACAGATATTTGACGACAGGAAAGAGGGAGCAGACCACACCAGAGCGGCCTTTACTTACACTTACACTTACACTTACACTTACACTTACACTTA